GCAATGCATTCTGGGATATGCTGGGCCGGGAAGGATCCATCGGACCTGTCCTTCGATTCGGGGAAAAAGAAGGACGTATTTGTCGGACGCATCGGAGGAGTCTTCCGTTTTGGACGTCCTTCGTCGCGGCGCTGTGACGTATGCGGCCGACAAATTCGACCTTCGGAGGACCCGTCCTGCCGTTTTGGACACAGCCATTGTTAGCTTAGTGTTAGCTCAGCATTAGCATTAGCTCTTCATTAGTGTTAGCTAATTAGTTCAGAAACTGGGAGAGTAATCAACAATCCAGTTTTCAAACACAACGCGGTCCTAGTTAGATCTGGTCCTCAGGAGTTTTGGAGGTTTTGGTTAGAATGAAACCGACTTTTTTCTGTTTGTTTTGTGTTTTCGCTCAGCGTTCCAGCTGAGAGGAAGAAGAGGAAATCAAAGTGGCTTCTTGAAGACGCCATTCCTAACGTGAGCTTCCCTTGTTTTTAAATGAAGGTGTGTTTTTTAGCGTCAGATCTGAGGTTTTACTGTCCCTGCTTACAGAACAAGCTGACCTGCAGCTTGACCTCCAACCACCACATGGCCAACATCTTTGACTTCACCCTGGACGAACTGCAGAGCCTGAAGAGGTGAGATCAGTGTGGCTGATAAACTGATGAGTCATGGTTCTGAGATCAGCTGATTTATGATGCTCCTCCCCCTCAGTAAGTCCAGCAGAACCGTCAGCATCGATCAGGACTCCACAGACGCCTCCACCTCCGGTTCTGCTTCCACCAGCGGCTCTTACCACTTCAGGTGACCTGTCCTGTGTTTCCTCTTTACCTGGTGAAGGAACCCCTGACCTCTGACCTCTGACCTTTGACCTTTGCGTCTACAGGAGGAGGGTGGGCAGCAGGAAGAGGAAGTTACCAAGCAACAGCTACAGCCAGTGGGCCAGTCGCAGCGAGGCAGGAGAGGAGCCGCCCGAGATCGACCCTGCAGCTGCAGGCCACGCCCACCTAAACACAGAGGCCTCCTGCTTCCTGTCAGACTCCTCCCACATCCCCTCAGACTCCTCCCACCGCCACTCCTCCATCTCCTCGTTGTTCGGAGTGGCGGGCAGACTGACCAACGGGGAGAGATACCAGGTGCTGGCCCGCCGCGTCACTCGTCAGGGGACGGTCCAGTACCTACTGGAGTGGGAGAGGTCAGCACCTTTTTAGGACGTTACACGGTTCCAGGTGTGTGAGAAGCTCTGATTGGTCAGGTAGAGAGCACCTGAACCAGGTGTGTGTGGTGGTCAGGTGTTGGATGGCTCAGGTGTCACAGCTGCTCACACACCTGTAAAATCAGTATTTAGTCAAACAGTTAAGTCAGCCAAAGACTGGGTTTTATTTGAAGTTGTAATGTTGTCAGGCTGACAGTAGGAGGAGCTCTTCTCCATTTGTTAAACAATCATTTGTTATTTTTTTCTTTGTAGCAACTCCAGCTGTCTAGACAGCAGGCTGTCCTCACCTGTACCACCTGAGGGCTGTACTACCAATCAAAGCCCAGTTTGATAAATATGGGATAAATCCTGTGCCAGCAGGAACTGAATTTGAATTGTTCAGATTGAATCTGAATGTGCATCATTTGAAATTAAATGCATTGGTTTGAAAATAAATTTGACTAAATTTAAACTGAATTTAAAGTTTTGAATTTGAATTAATTTGCTTTGAAACTGTATTTT